CTTTCCCTTACTTTAACCCCAACTTGCTTTTCTTCTTCATTTCAGCCACTCTCTCAATTCAGCCATACTCTCATTTGTTGCCCAATTCTCAATCAATTATTAACATAGCACTTCAAACACACTGAATTCCTACCTGTACACCACCTTATTGTGGTATGTAAAATTTGAGCCCAAAATGGCACTGTTCTCTGGAATAACTGGACCACCACAGGATATAGCTTTAAAAAGACAGGATCACAAGAGAGGTTAATACAACAAAAATAAAAAGAACAGAAAATCAGGATTTGCTTTGTTTTCTCTAAATAGGTTTGAAGAGGTGTAAAGCCCTTGTTAACACTAGGTTCTTGATTAAGCTATAACTGACATTTAGGGCTCTTTATCTGCCTTCTCCTTACTGAAAAATTGGACTAACTGCAAATTGGTAGTTGGAACTGTTCTACAAACCACACGCTTGACTGTCAAGAGGACTCCATATCCACCCTTCCCTATGGACAAAGTAATTGTTTTTTTCACATTGTCTTTGTCACCCCTTCAATTTACCTGTTGCTTCACCTCATTAGTTCTGTTTTTCTAAAGAAACAATTTCTGCAATTATACCATGTATATGTATGTGCACCAGCCTGTCCTTTCTGGTTGCTTTTTATCCACTGAAACACAGTTATTGATCTTTAAGGCATTAATTTCCCACAAGATCCTTGGAAATGGGAGGCTGGGTGGAGAAGAAAGACACTTTTAATGCTTGCATTAAAATGAGATGAGTCTACACCTTTGACATGTAGGAGAATCTGCATAAGAGAGTACCACTATGAAGATGACAACTGTTGGAAAAGCTTCAGCTGGTGCTTACATCTCTTAAGATAACAGAGACTTCAATACTGAGACCCAGGTCTGCTAGGACAAGGTTTCACTAGCTGCCATGGTCTCTAAAGGCTCTACACTACTACTTTTCCCCCTCCATCTCTTTAACAACACACATTACAATATGCATTCTCCTCAGGAACTGCACCTTCACAATATGGTATTGGGTGGTTCCACTCTCCAGACTCCATGCATGTAAGTTTAGCCACTCCTGTCAGCTGAAACCCTTCTTCACAGGAAAATGTTACTTCACTGCCAACACTGTAAGTGTCCCCATATAAATGGCCATGCTCTGGATTTCCTGGATTACGGCACTTCACTGGTTCTGAGGAGGAAGAGAGAAACTATCAATAACATAACTAAGTACCAGGTTTTATAAACAAGTTACAGAAGATATCCTTGAGAATTTTCTAAAAGTAGGAATGTGGAGCACATAGAAAACACTCATAAATAGTGTACAGCCTTACCAGCTTTTTTCTGTTCTGTATGTAAGTGACAGGCACTCAAGACTCGTGCAAGTAAGCTAATCTTGATATGGAAAGCCCTCTGTAACTGAGTTTGCATTCACTGTCAGAAGTTAACACATATCCCACTCATTTTTCCCTCTGTGAGGGAAAGCCCATACCAGCACGTCCAGCCCTGAACATGAAATCAGCTCAGCTACCTTTTATCCCAACCTATGCCACTGTCTTGTCATCTTCATGCAAAGTTACCTTGCTTAGTATTTCCACAGGCAGCTCAAGCCCTACTCAGATGCCTGTATTCAAATACTTCTTCACTGCGCAGCTCTGCTCTGAGAAGCGACACATTGTGGCATGCGGCCTTGCAGGTCTTCAGCACATGTGCTTCATGTGCAAGAGGATTTTGCATGTGTGTATGACTCGGAGCAGAATCCCAATGACAGCTGTCTCCATAGCGAAAGGTGAGTTCTCAGGAAACAAAAGGAGACACTTCATCACAGCCTCATTCAGGCCAAAGTGACCTGGAGAGGAGAGCATACCTGCCCTGTCCATCCCTAGATATCAATTACTGGCAACTGTCTTCCACAGTGGGAGGCAGGATACTGGCCTATACAGAACCTTGGAAAGGCTAGCCTGATGTTTTTCTTTCCCATACCTGCACATTTTTTACCATCTCCTGTGTAAGGAGGGATGCAAGTGCAAACATAGGATCCATTTGTGTTAAGACAAGATGCATGCTCATCACAGTCTGATCCAACAGCACATTCATCAACATCTACAGAAAAGAAACACAAAAAAGATGTCTCTAGGGTGGTATTTGCAATAAGCATCTCCTTTAAATTTCTGTCTCACTAACTGTCAAGAGGAATCACTTTAATTAGTATAATTAAAAATCACTCTTACTTCAATTACATTTTTGATGCACTAGTAAAAATATTTAATATTTAAATGAATGTTTATGCTTTCTATATAATTTACTATACAATATTATGAAAAGTGAGAAAAATCAGAGACAAATCCTATTAACTGTCAGTCAATATTTCCACAAAAATTATCTAGTTTCCAACTAGTAAAAGACCAGACATCGTAACTCAGGAGGACTACAGGATGTCATGAGGTTATGCAGGGAGAAAATTAGAAGGGCCAAAGCCCAACTAGAACTTAATCTGGCTACTGCTGTAAAAGACAGTAAAAAATGTTTCTGTAAATACATTAGCAACAAAAGGAGGGCTAAGGAGAATCTCCATCCTTTACTGGATGCGGGGGGAAACATAGTGACAAAAGATGAGGAAAAGGCTGAGGTACTTAATGCCTTCCTTGCCTCAGTCTTTAATAGTCAGACCAGTTGTTCTCCAGGTACCCAGCCCCGTGAGCTGGAAGACAGGGACGGGGAACAGAATGAAGACCCCATAATCCAAGGGGAAGTCGTTAGAGACCTGCTACACCACTGAGACACACCCAAGTCTATGGGGCCGGATGGGATCCACCCAAGGGTACTGAGGGAGCTGGCAGAAGCACTCACCAAGCCACTTTCCATCATCTATCAGCAGTCCTGGCTAACCAGGGAGGTCCCAGTTGACTGGAGGTTAGCAAACGTGATGCCCATCTACAAGAAGGGCCGGAAAGAGGATCTGGGGAACTACAGGCCTGTCAGCCTGACCTCAGTGAAGGGGAAGCTTATGGAACAGCTCATCCTGAGTCCCATCACTTGACACATACAGGACAACAAGGGGATCGGGCGCAGTCAGCATGGGTTTATGAAAGGCAGGTCCTGCTTGACTAAGCTGATCTCCTTCTATGACAAGGTGACCTGCTTAATGGATGAGGGAAAGGCTGTGCGTGTTGTCTACCTGGACTTTAGTAAGGCCTTTGACACCACTTCCCCCAGCATTCTCCTGGAGAAACTGGCTGCTCATGGCTTTGTAGGGCACAACCCTTTATTGGGTAAAAACAAGGCTAACA